AAAAAATGAAATATCATTTTTAAAATTTATTAAATAATAAAAAAATATTGATGTAAAATTTATTTTAATTTTTAATGGAGATTATTGATATGAGGATAAAGAAGTACATTTCAATTTTGGAATCTGTTTTAGTCAATTTTATTTTGGACTCTCATAATTGCTCACCATTCCAACAAAAAAAGGAAAAGGAAAAGGAAAAGGAAAGGATGAAATCAAGATTCATAAACTTGTGAGAATATCTCACAATTGGGAATTAAGTCAAAATTGGATTCTACGAACCAAACATGGCCACCAAAGAAATGCCTCTCACATTCCGATTCCACATCACACTCCATTGCCTTAAACCAAACAAGAATAATAGTGAAATTATATTCTTACACCAATGCATGCTGCTGTTGTATATATCCAATATCCATGACTTTCTCATCTAATTTCTTTCCAAATATCTCTACAAATTATATGTCTCATATTCTTATTTCAATTTGAAACAAAATATTGCACTCTCTTACGATCGTTATGATCAGGGACTGATCCGCTCATATAATAGCTGCTCCACCAAACTTTATCTATTTTTTTATAAAGTAAGACTTATGTACTTAATCTTATATACTTAATATTTTTATATCAAATTAAATCATGACATGTGAATCTTAATTTATTCATTTAATTAATAAAAATTATAAAAAATTTGTAAAAGATTCAAATGTCTTAATTTAATTGAATTCAAGCAGTTTAAATATATAAGCTTAACTATATAAGTTTTTTCCTTCTTGACATATATGTGTGTCCGTGCATGCACATGCGTATTTTATGTCTTCGTCTCAGAGATATTTTTTGCTCTCAATTATATCCTTATATGTCTCAAATTAATGGATTCGTCATTGGACAAGTTTTTTTTTTTTCTTATTGTGCATAGGTGTCATTTTATTAAAAGTAATGTCGAAACCAAACAAGCATACATGGGGGAGTAAAATTGAAAATTATCCTGAATAGGGGGTTAAAACTAATTTTTTACTTTTTTTTTAACAAATAAAGATTAAAGAAGTTACAAAGTAACAGTAAAATTAAAAATACAGTCAACTATTAAATATAAATATTTCTTTCAACAAAAGGATCAAAATATTGTTAACAGAATAGCTACTTATCCTATAAAGCGTACATCTCTTTATAAATTAAAACTTAATTACTTGACGTGCCAAAATTAAATAAAAAAAATGCATTGACCAAAATTAATGCACTTTGTGTGTATTCTGGATGTGTGGCCTTCACATGAAATAATGTGCGTTTTGAACAATAGAAATTAGAAAAGCAGAAAAGATTGAATCTTGCCAAACAAAGAACAGAGGGCTTTGGGAATGATCGACTTTTTGTTTTGATGTGAAAGCATTATGTGCAATGGAATAAAACCTCACAATCAATCAATTTGTCTCCACTAGTTGTGTCAGAATTGTTTTAATGGAGAAGAAAAAAAGTTCGTTTCCATGCCAAAAGGAAAATTGTCTTCAACAACAAACCAACAATTCAAGTCCTTTAAGGGTTGATTCGAATAATAAACAGTTCAGTTTTGTTTAAACAAGATTTTTGAATTCAAATTTTGTGTATGTAAAAACTTCTATTGGGAGATACCATAATCAGGTGCACGATACGAGTCGGATTCAAATTAATCAAGGCAAAACTTTGGATATCGGGTGGCCAACCAAAAAAAAAAAAAGAAAAGTCCTTTTTTTAATATTTAATTATCCAAAAAAAAAAATTACCAGGCAAATATAGTTTCAAGTAGCTTAAGAATTCAAAATCGTCTCCTTCGTGCCCCCATTGAAAGTCAGGTCATTAAAATAAACTCAAGAAAAATCTTCCCCTAACTGGAAGTTAAAGATGAATCTTGTTTCATCAATACCATTGTCGGTAAAGACTCGACCAATAATCCATAAAATTATGAATTCAAATTTGGCCATTGATGTAAACACCTTGTGGATGAGCGACTTATAAGAACACATGTAAAAACCTTTTGATCGGTATAGGCATGCTATGACCTTGATAAGCCTGTGGAATTAAAAAATGAAGGGAAAATATAACTTTGAATGAAGAAACCTAAAACACCTAAAAATAAAAGTGTAAGGATTTATAATATTAAAAAAAAATACAAGGACCCACAACGAAAGTCAAGCAAAATGCGGGTATTCAAATTTATTTTTTTTTCAAAAATGAATCTTGCTTGAATTATAAATACAATATATCCAATCATTATTGAATTATAATAGAGAGAATGACACTACAATTTCAATTATCAGTTAAATCCCTAATAAATTTTTTTAAAAAATAAATTGCAAATATAATATGGCCGTAAACAAGAATAGCTCATATTGATAGTTATATTTATAATTTATGTCTTATTTGAAATTGAAAATCTTACATTTACAACTACCTAAATCAATATGAAAATTTTATCCAGATCCTAAGTTGCTTGTTTTAGAATTTTAACTCTGCAGTTCTAGTTCTTGAACCAGATCATCCAAGTTAGTTGAACCAATAAATTATTAAATAATTTATATTTTAACTAGTTGAAAGAAAAATTTTGTTCATCATTCAATAGAATAGTTCGGTTATCACCTATTTTACAGATCGACAATGATTTTATCCATTATTAACCTCTGAACATCATCTCAATCATTTAATAACCAGTTTGATTTTTCGTTCTGACAAGAAAACCCTGCCGTCACAAGTATTCAAATTCCGATAGTTTCAGTGCCAATGCACCGCACTAAAAGGCTAGACCCATAATATCACAAAATTAACCCAAAAGACGAAAAATATATAAATCATTGATATGCATTAATTAATTAATACGCGTGCGTCGTGCACTTGTGTCTATATAAAATTTTCATTCCACGTGTCAACTTTACAAAAGCAAAAAGACTAATATATCGCGCTTGTCATCCTAAATTTTGAAACAATAACAAACTAACGACCATGCTGTGCTGCACAAATATGTCAACAAGACCGTAAATTTGCATTGAGGAGTTAGATTAAGCTTTCTATGACTCAATGAAGAACAAGACAAGTATCTTATGTTGTCACTGTTCATATAAAAAAAGTAAAAAACACAAAAACAAAAACCTCACAGTACTATTGACAAGCTTAAAAGTCGAAGCAATATCATTCACATGCCAACACAGCAAATGAAGCACTCTAACCCAAAGAAACAAAAATGTCAAAAAAAATAAGACTTTCATGCATACAAACAAAATAACAAGAAGCTTTATCTCACTAGGTTGCATAATAAACATTCTAGAATGACAGATGTACATCCTTGACTAGGACCTGCCCACTTCCCTCTTTTCCAGAAAATCATACCAAGAGGACATGTACAATCCTTAACCTAAAAGAGTAAAGACCCTTTCAACAGTAACAAGTCTCCAACCCAAAACAAAATTTGTTCAAGCTAAAGATCAACAACAATAACAAGTCTTATCTCAATATGTAAAACTCCACCAAGTCTAATCTCTATCAACAACATTTTACCAATAATCCAAGTTCCCATCATCTGAATATGATTCTGTACGTACACAAAAATCAAATTTTATGGCATTTCCCTAACTTGAGTTGAGTTAAATAGAATCCAAAGCCACCACCACAAGACAACAACACAGAAAGGAAAGTGAACAACAACTATAATGCAATCCACATGATAAAATATAAAAACACTAAAAGGTGTTAGCATGTGCAGAAAAGATGTATGATCATCAACAAACATGCATTGAATACAGACAATAATCCTCCACTTCTTTATCTACACCCAACAAAGAAAAATATAGCAAGAAAGATTCTAGACAACAATTGACCAATATGATATTGCAAAAATCTGATCAAAGCATTCCCGACAACAATTATCCGGGATAAACAGGCTTGTCAACAAAACCAGAAGGAAATTAAGATCATAAAGCACAAAGAGACAATCATCATGCACAAGACAAGATTTTATAAAAAAAGAAAAACATACAAAAACACTTCAGAGTTCACCGTGTCCGTACTAAGGACAAACCAAAGAGAGCTTGGAAACAAGGCAGTTCTATTCTTAGGTCTTGTGAGGATACAGGAACTTGGTAGGCTGTTTGGGCATCAGTGAGATGGAAATAATGACTGATGACCAATAAAATAGCCACGAAAATGACAGCCATGTATAATGATTGTGACCATACAACCACTTATAACACCAAAGTCTAAAGCAACACTGCGAAGTGAAACCCACATTTATTTCCATTATATGCTAATCCATAACCAACCAGCCAAGCCAACACTTGAAGGTTCCAATATAATATTAGCTTTAATTTCCAAGCGTGTTGTACATAGACTAAAAGGATTGTAGAGAAGAAATTAATGGGCAGGAACGGGAGCAAAACATAACATCTTAAAACATCAAGACTGAGGTCTAAAAGTCCTTACTATTTATTTCATATTATTTTATAAGCCCGACTTTATCCCTCTACATCGGCTCAAGTCCACCCATAGCTGGACAACCTAACAAACCTAAGAAGGATGCAGGTATATTCATATACAACGAAAATCATGTATATGCGGAGAGACAACTAACATATATAAGTTGATCTAAACATCCCAAGGTTCATGATGATCAATGCTTTACACCGTAGATTACAACTTGCACAAATCTAACTCAAAACACAAGGGAATAAGGAATAGTGACCAAAAAGTAAAGAGATATTTATTATAACCAATAAGCTGGAAACACAATTAACAAAAACAAACAAGACATACATACTTACATACATACATACATACACACACACACACATATATATATATATATTACCTTTCAACGCTGTTCAACTTTCGGTTCATAGGTGAATATCAACTAAAGACATAGTAGACAAAAGTGACTCCTTCACTCAACATCATATCATACAATGACAAAAAATCTATCGGGGCTCGGGGGGAAGAGAGAGAGGGGGGGAGAGAGAGAGAGAGGCAGAGACAAAAGAAAATGTTGAAAGAGTGACCAATATATTTAAATTAAAATAATATATAACAAGATTCAAAACATAGAAAAATATTGATGATGCTGATAATATATAATTTGCCACCCCCTATCAAATCAAATCAAAATAAGTAAAAAAGATAGATTAGCCTACATTGTTGTTCATTTCATTTTGATGATTTGATTCTTGTTTGCTTGCTTTCTAAGCCCATCTCAATTAACATCCCATTACAGTTTGATCAATTCATTGCATTACCATAGGTTGAACCAGCAAGGAAACCCCCACATGAAGCAGCTGCGTATACATCAGAAGGATCCAGCATTGTGGATGACGATGTGGCTCCATTTCTCCCGCCGCTTGCGCCGGTTCCTCCGCCGCCGCCGCCCCCCAAATGCAGCTCCGAGATATTAGGATAACCTTCTCCATTTTCAACCCCTTGATCATACAGAAACCCTTTGAACACATGGCCACCAATCTTCACAACAGCCTGATAAGCATACTCATCGTCCCCGCCGTCGTCCACAGCCGTGACACGAACGCACTTGAACACGGCCGGCGCACGTACTTGACCCGGCAATGAGTCTTTGAAACTCGCATCTGCACACACATTTCAAACCCAAACCCTACATGTCCTTCAAATTCTAATTAAAAACCATGAACACGATACATCAAGGACGAAGTAAAACTCTAATCATGATTCGCCAACAAAGAAGCACCAATACTTCAGGACACAACATCTCAAAACTGTGTTATCGAGCTTCGCATCGGTGCTTCTCGCAGAGTAATGCTAGAGCTTTTAAGTATAAACATACACTCACCTTGATGGCTAGAGCTAGTGTCGAAGCTACGAGTAGTGTTGGAAGTTGAAGTACGCGAAGTGGTAGTGGTTTGCGAGGCGACAAGTTTAGGTTTCTTGGATATTGATGTGGCCCCACTAGACCCACCGCCACCGGCGCCGGCGGCGGAGGCCATAAGTTGGCGTTCCCTCCGACGAGCGGCGGGTACCCACGTGCTCTTAACGTGAGTAGGGCAATCATAACCTCGGCTCTTACAGCACGTTCTGCACCTTCTATGACTGCAATCTTTCTTCGCCTGGTTGCCACAGTCTTGGCATGTTGTGCCTCCTGAGCTCAAAGCCGAGCCGCTTAGCGGCCCGCCGCCGCTGTGAGCTAGATTGCCGGAGCTAGTGGTACCGTTGTGTTCGGGAAGGCCTTGCTTCTTCAAGTAATGATCCTGCCACAGCTGAATTCCGCCGCTACGGCTTCGATTATGAGTGCTGAGATTGAGCATGTTGCCAGTGTCACCATCGAGACAAGGAGCCGCCGTGAGAAGCGGAATAACACCAACGCCGTGGATGTGAGGATCGGGCATGACGACATCGTTATGGTACGAGGAAGCAGGCGCCACCACGAAGACATCCCGAAGGCCCACCATGCCCATCTCGGAATGGCCAAAGTTGACCGACCTGGACCCTCCGGACCACATTCCGGCGGGAGTCCCCCCGGCGGCGGAGCTGGGACCGGCATTGAATCCCAGGGAGAGATCATCGGGCGCGGCGGCGCGTCCGGCAGAGGATGTGGTTGCCCAGTCTGCGAAGGCACCACCAGAATCTGAAGGCAGCCTCCTTGTAGTAGCCACAACTACTGAATGTAGAGTTAAAAACAAAACCCAATTTCAAAACTAAAATAGGGTCTCCGATTGAAAAACCAGTCAAGCCAAAAAAAAAATTAATATTAATAATATTAGTAGTAATCGAAATAGAATGCTACGGTATGATTGTCTGGCTATAAATGAAGGGTATAGTGATATAGATCTTCTGAAACTTGGAAGGCAATCTATATGGATTGTATCTGATGCGGGTCTTATTGAAGTGGGGTCTCTGCAAATTTATCACAGAGAGAGAGAGAGAGAGAGAAGGGAAGCTGTAAAAGTGTAATTGAGTTAGGGGAATAGAGAGATGAGAGATCTTGCTCTCCGAAGAAAGAGAAACGAAGCTGTTCCGTGCTTCTTCTCCTGTCCCTTCTGTTTTCTGGTCCTTCTGCTACTGTTGTAGTTACTTCTACTGCGTCTGCCACTTCGGATTTTTTCCCAAAAAAAAAAAAGGGAAGAAAGGGTTTGAGAGAGAGAGAGAAGACTAGAGTGAAGAGAGACTGAGAGAGTACAGAGAGGAAGATAGATAATAATGCAATAACGAAGGAACGAACGAGGGACGACCTTACTTTCTTTCTCTCGAGTCTCACACTGCGTTTCTGTTTTCTTCTTCTGAAGTTATTGTTGCCGACTCTTTCTCTCTCATCATCATCACCGTCACCATCATCTTCTTTGTTTCACTTCCCTCGCTTCTTCTCTCTGAGCTTTTCTTCCATCTCGCTTTCTCTTTCTCGCTCTCACTCTTCTTCTGTTTCTCTCACTTTCCCTTGAATTTGGTCTCCTAGAAAGCGAAACTGATGAAGGTGGGTTCCTCCCTAACCTTTCACCTTTTCTCTTCTCTTCTCTCCTCTCTCTCTCTCTCCCTCCCCCCAATTATCAACCTGTTAAGTAAGTAGCCACTAGAGAGAGAAAGTAGTGAAAGCCATAAAGATTGAAGACTTCTAGGCTCTAAGCGCTCACCGTTTCCTTTTTTTTTTTTTTTTCAAATTTTGGATGATAAATAGATAATTTTACCCTTAAACGTTTACGTCCTAACTTTTTTTTTTTAATGTGATTTTAACGTTCAACATTTACAAGTGTCGTAAGGCGTATCTCACGTTAATTAAAAGATGACATTCGTGACTTTTAAATTATATGTTCATATTTTTTTCCATATGATTTGATAGTTAACATTCTTATAATTTAAAAATATATATTATAAGTTTTTATTATTTATAGATATTTTTTTATGAGATGCAATCGTATTTAAAAATATAGCTAATGTGAGCAAAGATATTCTTCAAAAAAATTAACCCCTCACCGAACTTGGTGAATACATTAACACTTTTAAATATTGATGATGATGATGGATGATAGGTAAAATTGCACTAAGACATTTGAATTTTTTTAAAAAAAATTATCCTATAATATAAGGGTAACATTGTCTTTTTAACCTCAATTTCATCTCTATGGACCCCTAAAGTCACATGGCTCCCCTCATTCCATGTGGCCGACCTTCTTCCTTCTTTCCTTCCACTCGGAGCGTGTGCTTCACACGGCGCGTGACACTTTGTCACGTAGCTCTGGCGTGTGATGACGCGCGTAGCTTCGTGATTATTATGACTGAAAACGTAAAAACTTTCGTTAAACTAGACGTAGAATACTAGAGTTCAAGTAGCTCACTCTAGTTCATGTCCTTTTTTTTTCTTTCTTTTCTTAATATTGATTTGATAAATAGACCTTCTAAGGTAGAAAGATCTAGTGAATTCTGTTGTTTAGCCTGTCATTTCGTCTCCTGACATTTTTTCTAGATTACACTTTCATTTGCCTTGTCCTGTGAGTACTGGATTTATTTATTTTTTTGTCGAATAAGAGTATTTGATTGATGACATGCTAAATATGATGACTTGAAAATTTGAAATATCAAAATTATATTTTTTACGACAGTACAAGTGTATGGGATTAATTATAAATAAATCAACTTATTAAATTTAAAAACAACAACTTGTCACACAAGCATAAAGTTTTCATTTTTTTAAATAATAACATAATGTTTGCACCTAAATTATAAATTTAGAGGTTTAAGCTCATCTAAACTTAATTGGCTTTAATTAAAAAATATATATTTATGAAGCCTTAGCTACTAAGTCAAGACCATTCACATTTTATCCATAATGAGTGACCAAGATGGAGGAAGTACTTCGTAAATTTAAGGACACAAACAATCATGAAGTATGGACACCAAGTTAGGATCATCTATAAATAGAGGAGTCCTCTCTCAATAATCATCATCAGCATCAACAATCTATTAGTCTCAAATTCCACATCTACTGATTTATTTTATTTTTTCTTTTATCATGTAGTTTTAATATTTACTTTTCTGTTGTACGGCCAAAATAGCCTATCACCTTTTTCTTTAATTAATTTATATTTGCTTTCTTGCATCTACATTAATTTTTTTCACTTTACATTCTCACATCCGGGTGAACTGTGGTAAGGGAACCTGAGTTCCCCAAGTTTGATTATAAGTCAAGTTCTTCCATCCTTTTGAGACCCTACATCTCTGGCATGCCTCGTGACACCCCCTTATTTTTTTTGCTTAACAATTTTTGACACGCTCAATGGGACACATGTGAACAGAATGCCAAGGACATGTAAGGACCAATATATTGTTGGAAAGAATAGATCTAAGTTTTACGACTTAAAAAACATGGCTGTACATGCAAAATGTGAAGTAAGAGTTAATGAGAGGCAAAGAACTCTGTTGCAAACTCTGAAAGATAGGCTCAGGAATATCTCTACTAAGTTATCTAGACTATCGCAAGAGCAAGTTTCAAATGACTCGCACATTCAAATAATAGATGGACTTAGGGGGCAATCTCCTAATGTACCATTCAACCAAAAGATCAATAATGAAAATCGTTATAACATCCCTCAAAAATAAATAACAGGTCTAATTCAATGAGGGGCCCATTCGACTATAAGGTTGGAGCCACTGGGGCACACTAAAGGGGCCGAAACCAGAGGGGTCGAAACCATAATAGCTGGAGTCATAAGGGCCGCAGTCATAAAGGCTAGAACCACAAGGGCCGAAATCATAAGGGCCAACACTACAGGGCTGCAACGACAAGGGCCAACCAACATCAAAGGGACCAAAACCACAAGGGACAACACTAGAAGGGCCAGAGCCACAAGGGCCACCACTAGAAGGACCGAAGCTACAGGGGTCAAAGTTAGAAAGGCAAACTTTGCAAGAGCCCTTTTTACATGAGCTCTATCCCAAAGGGCTCTCTCCACAAGGGCGAAAGTCACAAGGTTGAACCTTACAACGACTAGATTTTACAGAACTAGTCTTTAAAATCTAAAAACTTAAAAGGCCAATTCCAAACCCAGCTCTTGAGATCTCAAACCTTTAGAAACTTGATCCTAAGTTAAATCACATGGTCCCTAATCCTTAACTATAAGAGTGTCCTTCAAGTGAAGTACTAGATCAACCATTAATCAAAATGGAAACAAGTTGATCCTCCAAGACATACTACTCATGCAATGCTTGAAAGTAAGGTCAATGGAAATATCCATATAAAATTGGCCTACGAAGGCTTTGGTCAATTTGTATGCAGGGGGTATTAGTTGCACTCAAATTGTGAATTTGGAGGCCTAGGCTCAACTCAACTTAATCGAATTTAATTAAAAAAAGAAAGAATATTTATGAAGTCTTAGCCATTAAATCAAGACCATCCAAACTCCATACATGACGAGTGACCAAAATGGAGGAAGTACTTCTTAAATTCAAGAAAACTAGCGATCATGGGGCTTGGACACCAAGCCAGGATCATCTATAAATAGAGGAACCCTCTCTCAACAATTATTATCAACATCAACAAACTATTAGTCTCAGACTTCGCATCTATTGATTTGTTTTATTTTTCCTTTTATCATGTAATTTTAGCATTTATTTTTCTATCGTACGGCCGACATAACCCTCCACCTCTTTATTTAATTAATGTATATTTGCTTTCTTATATCTACATTAATTTTTTTCACTTCGCATTCTCACATCTAGGTGAACTGTGATAAGAGAGTTTATGTTCCCCACGTTTGATTAAAAGTCAAGTTCTTCTATCCTTTGAAACCCCGCATCTCTGACACGTCTCACAGCATTCCCTTATTGTTTTTGCTTAACACATAGTATAAAGTTTCTTTATACCTTACTCATATGAGTACCCAAATTTGATTGGTAACTAATTCACTCCCATAAATATAATGAGGCCAACATAGTAATAAATTAAAATATTTTGGGTCGAAGTTAGAGAAAAGCAGTAATTTTTGTTATAACAAAAACAAGTGATTTAAAAAAAATTATTAAATTAAATAAAAAAAGCAAGCATGATAAAGAAAATGTAGGAACTAACCAATCAATTAATCATTATGTTTCATGATTCATTTATTGGGATGACTTACTATAATTTAGTTATTTCTTTTATAGCGACAATTATTTTTAAAGTGTCATAATTATTTTTTAATATATTAAAATGTATTTTATTAGAATTAAATTTAACTCTCACTAAATTTTATTCTCTAACTAAATCATAAAATTATTATCGAAATCATCATCAATCCCTAAATTATTCTTAATTTAGTTATCAATATCTATTCTCTAGGTTTAGTAAATTTTTCACCTTTGAGTTTATCAAACAACCCACACACAACTTACATAATGGCCATTTATATAAAAAAATAATTAAATTAATAGAGATAAATATAAAAACAAACATAAAAATTTCATAACAAAATTCAATGTTCATCTGGGAAAATGAATAGAGCTAAATGAATAAGTAAAATCATTTCAATAAGGTTACTCTCTACCCTAACTGAAGATCTAGAAACAATTTATAGAGAAATTACATAAATCATCAATAAAAGATATAGACAAAATCAAATGAATAAAAAAGAGAAAGAGAAAACTCTCAACTTAAAAGAATTCTTTCAGACTTGGCACTATGCCTCCTAACTCACAAAGATGTGATCAGATGATCTCAATAAGATTTCTCAAAGTTTCTTATATAATTTTCACATCGTAAAACCTAAAAGCCCGTTAGCATAAGTCTCTTTTGATTCAGGATTAATTCTATAGTTGATACGTGTTTTTATTTTCATCTGCCTGCTGTAATGACCTTCGTATTTTTGTCTGCCCATGGTTGAAGCACGAACCAACTTTTTCAATTCTTCCTCATCCGCGACCGGACGTAATTAGAGACATGATTCTTCACATTTTATTTCCTTTTGGCTTTCCTTTCTCTACAAAACACATACAATACTCAATCAGGCAATATATTATATTTTTCAACTATTTTTATACCATAATTACTTTTTTTTTAAAAAATTACATAGTCAAGGAAAAGCTTGAAAAGTAAAAATACACGGTAAAACAAACTAAACACTAATAGCTATGTCTTCCAAAAGAGCTTGGTGGCAAGAGGGAGATGCCATAATTACTTCAAATAATTAAGAGCCAAAACAAAACAAAAGCAGCATATAACATAGACCTATAAGCAAACGTTTAGATGAAATTAAAATAGGATTATCCAAAAGACGTACTATGATAATTATATTTTCTAGTTCTCTCTGAAAATTGAATATATATATGTTTAGCTGTCTAATTAAGTAACATCTTTTCATATTCATTTAATATATGTCTCCAAATATAACATTTCCCCCTTTCAAAATTAGTTGTATAATTTTATTTTAACAAATCCAAGAAGAAGAAAAAGACAGGTGCCATTTTCCTTTTCCTTTTTTGTCATTTTTAGTCATTCTATTGATATAGCTGATGCAATATTTAGTAAGTAAAAAATATTATATATATATATATATATAAAGAAAAGCACCCATTCCA